ACATAGGCACATTATATTGTTATTATATTATAATTTGCATTAGCCGACATAGGCACATAATTTATTTGTAGACTTATTTTTTGGTGTGCGCCTTGTGGTCCACATATCTCATTTCATTTATTTTATTTATTTATTTAATTTATCTATTTACTATATTATTGTTACCATTTTGTTTCTTTCTTGTTGAGCCAAACAGGCTACATTTGTGATATTTATATTTTATATTTCTTATTATTATACAGTCCACTACCCACATTATTTTATTTTTTGATTTATCTTGCTTATTATTTATATTGGAAAAAGGTAACACTGTATATTACTTGCAGTGACCCGGTGTCCTACATTTTGGTCCTTCGAGCCGGATTAAACGTCATAAATTAATAGTTTAATTACTTTGAGATATTAATATTACAGCAGTTTGTTGAAAAGGTTCCGTTGTATATTGTTAATTTGTATTATTATTTTTTATTGTGAGATAAGCACTTGTTGCATTCATATAAAATTTGTAATCAGCCATGGCAAATCAACTAAAATTAGCAGTAAGGAAATTGAAGACAATTTACAGCGAACTTGCGTCAATAACACTGTTTGGCACCCTGTACGATACTACATCTGGTAACATAAATGAAGTTCGAGTCCGTATGGAGTGTCTACCTGGTATTTCTGAGCAATTTGAAATATGTCAAACCCAAATTGAGGAACTTGATAACGCTGTTGAGGATGATGATCACATAGTTAAACGGATAGAGTTTAAGGATAAACTATACAGTGTTAAGGCGCTACTTATGCAGTTATTAGATGCCCATTTAAATAGCACTTCAAGTAGCCCATCATACAGTGAGCTTACAAAATACAAGGCTGACACAACAATGAGATTACCACCGATTGATATTCCCAAATTTGATGGTGACTGGCAGAAATGGACCTCATTTATTGATAGTTTTAATGCTATGTTTCATCATAATGAAAGTCTTGCCCCTGTCCAGAAGTTTCATTACCTCAAGAGCTGTCTTCAAGGTCAACCCAGTGATGTTATTCGTTCAATACCCACCACGGGTCAAAATTATTTGCAAGCCTACCATGCGCCAACTAACCGATATGAGAACAAAGGAGTTATCATTCAATCGCACATCCGATCATTACTCGATACACCAAAGGTCAGCATTGCATCTGCTACAAATCTACAAAAACTACATCATCATGTAATGTCAAACGTTAATGCACTCAAGGCACTAGAACAGCCTGTAGAAGCATGGGATGCATGGTTAGTTACATTGACTTGCTGTCGTTTGGACAGTGTCACAGTAGGCGAATGGCAACTTCATTACAACAAAAAGGATTTGCCATCGTTTAAAGCAATTGAGGCGTTCCTGTTTAATTGCATTGCTGCATATGAAGCAGGTGACATAAATGTTGGATTGACAACAGAAGAAGTCACTTGGCAAGTTCTCTAATCCTAAAGTACATGAGAAGAAAGTATTTTTTGCAAGACCAGCTGACAAAATTAATAATGCAAGTAAATGTATTTTGTGTAGTGAAATTCATAGATTGTAATTTGTATGTCATTTAAAAAAAAAAAAAATATATTGTAAAACAAATGTTGAAATAATTAGGGCTGATTGTAAAAGATTTCTATCTGAGGACAGAAATCTTTCTTTTCGCGCGGAGGTGTTGCGGACATACATGAATGTAGGTTCTTACGACTCATACGACGTGGACGGGACCATGTAGATCATAAATAGTAGATATCAAGAAAATGATTATTATTAACACAATATTCGCATTCGTAAAAATAGAAATGAATTTTAGTTAAAAGTCAGAAGGTAAACAAGTACATATATTATATGTGAATCGCATGGTTATATGTAGAATTGTAACTGGGAAAAAGTCGTGACAAATATGGAATATGTGCGAATAAGGTCATCTAGGTAATAAATAGCGGGCTAGAGACAAATTATTTAATATAGTTGAAAACAACTATCGCCCAGCGCGGCACGTTTGATCTTCACCAAACCTAAGTATATAAGGGGGTTGGGAACAGACCAATATTCAGATGTGGTTTACATGTACAGTCGCAAGCACCTTCACGCCACATTATTTCTTAAATTAATGTTTTGTACTTAGAAAATTTATTGAATAAATAGTTTAAATTACAATTGAGTATTTTTATTGAAGTATTATCCTTAAAACTTAACCATCAAATACGATTGAGCGACGGCACACAACAACGTCATAATAATTTTAGTACTGAAATAAATCTGCATGTAATTCCTTATATTTGCAATGAATTACCATCCCATCATTTAAAAAAAGATCATGTGAAAATTCCAGAAATAGTTAAAGATCAGTTGGCAGATCCCGGTTATGGAGTTCCGGGAGAAATCAATTTGTTACTTGGTGCAGAAGTGTTCTACACTCTATTCATTGGTGATAAAATCGATATTGAAAGCAATTTAACATTTCACAAAACTTTGCTTGGCTGGGTGCTTACTGGAAAGGTGTTTAGCAGCCAGTTTAGTCACTTTGAAACATCTGCTTACACATGCTTCAACGAAGAAAGTACTAATTCTGCGTTATCATTACTAGTTACCAAGGCAAATATTCGTCGAAGCGATGAAGAACTAGTTGAAAAACATTACAAAGATACTCACTACAGAGATGAGTCTGGGAGATTTGTCGTGCGACTTCCATTCAATGATAATGTTAGTCTTCTTGGTGAGTCCAGTTACATGGCTCAGCGTCGATTTCTTAATTTAGAGAGGCGCTTGTGCAAGGATAAGGACCTAGGCATTGCTTATCATAAATTCATAGCAGAGTACTTGGACATGAATCATATGAATTTGATAAATGACACAGATCCTGGCAAGAGGACTTATTACTTGCCACACCATGCTGTGACGAAAGAAACTAGCATCACTACAAAACTCAGGGTAGTTTTTGATGGATCCGCTCCGTCTAGTACTGGCTTGTCGTTAAATGATGTTCTATATAGAGGTCCCTAGGTCCAACCCGATTTGTTGGCCATTCTTTTACGATTCAGAATGCATGCTGTAGTTATGACATCTGACATCGTCAAAATGTCAAACAGACTACATTTGTGATATTTATATTTTATATTTCTTATTATTATACAGTCCACTACCCACATTATTTTATTTTTTGATTTATCTTGCTTATTATTTATATTGGAAAAAGGTAACACTGTATATTACTTGCAGTGACTCGGTATCCTACAATAATAGTAAAGTCTTTAACCTTTTTGCGCTTATTGTACTGGTTACTGGTTCTCATAACTACTGTCTAGATATTAGTATACCTACTTAAAGAGTCTTTACATTTTTTAATTAGTTTTCAATTTATAGCACATATCAAGAATTTATGCGTTAAACATTTTATTTTAAATAAGTAATTTCAAATACTTTAATAATGCTAGATCAGTGGTTCCCAACCGATGTGCCGCGATAAATCTATAAATTGTTCTATAAGTATGTATTAACCAACTTATTGATATTCGAAATGAAAACTGATTGAACTAATCGTAGATACATATAATATTATACAGGTATTTTGTAAGTATGCTCGTCACGGCCGTCTCGATCGATCGATTGTATTCATATATTTCACAATAAATAACCTTCTAATAGAGTAGACTGTAAATAGTATACATACATATATCTATATATATAAAATATGGTTCACATAATTTATGGATTGGTGTGTCACGAAAATTTTGTTGGAGATGAAGTGTGCCGCATTGTTAAAAAGGTTGAAAACCAGTGCTAGATGGTGACAGATATGTATAAATAATATAGGTATTTACTTGCTAAAATACTTGTGAATCATTTTTCATCATCATATAACTACTTGGGATTAATGATATTGATTCTTGGTATATACTGGAACATACATCTCAACAAAACTATAATAAGCAGTGTCGGCTGATTCGGTTTTGGCCAAGTTTCTGGTGGTCCTGGTATGTCTGAGTGAGGTGCAGGTGGTGGTGTCGGTAGGTGGTCAACTTATGCTGTGCGGCTCAGCATCCCCCGTCCACTCAGTTGTCAGCAGGTGCGGGTCTACTGGTGGCATCCTTGGCACCACGGTCGTCTTGGAGTCAGCCTCACTCAAGTCACAGACTGTCGTTGTTGCACCGGTGCGGGGAAGGTGACTGGCCGTGATGGGGCTGGGTCGGTCGATGCGCCATGTTTTGCCGGTGTTGTACGGGTAACCGGTTTTCCGCGCCCTGATGATGCCGCCTGGGTGGTTGGTGCCCTGCGGTATGCCGCCTTCGATTTTCTCGACAATAATGAATGCTGCGACCGCCTTTTTTACTTGATCCAGCATCTCCACCAGTTTGTTGTGGTCCATGTTGTTAAACTGGATGTCTGGATGTGAATCTGGATAACGCGCAATTGTGTAAATAATTAATTATAAGCACGCTTTAGGCAGGACACGTGGATCTTTTTCGGCGGTAGCTGATCGGTTAGGAATACTCTTTTGCCAACTCACTTTTCATTGCCCAGTAAGTTTCATTCCACCCTGAGTGACTAGCCTTGATGTGATCATGATACCTCCGGATCACCTGTTGGGATTGGGTTTTGGGTATCACGATTGATAAGTGGCCCTTGACGTTTTGCCGCAGGAGGTCATCCGATAGAACAAGGGTGTCCGTATCTTTCGTGGCGCTTTTGGTGTTATATGCAGGGGTGTCCAACTTAATTGCTTTGATAATGTCCCACGTCTGGGGGTCGTTGGATTGCCAAGACGCGAGGGTTGTGTTGGAAAACGGGTCGTCGGCAAGTACGTTGACCGTTTCGGTTGTGGCCAAGATGTCATCAGCTGGGGAGTTAGTAGTGTTGGTGGGTGGTAATGTGGGTACCCCTACTAATCGTTCCTTGAGCTGATCCTCATCTACGGGTGAGCCTGGGGTAAGGTCGCGTGATAACATGTCTGTTCCCTCGTTTTGTACGCCGGGTATATGTATTGTGTGGAAATCCAAGTTTGAGAGTTGAAGAGAAGTTAACATCGCGTTAACTTTGAATTGTTGTTCTTTGCCCGATGAAGCCAAGTTAGTGCTATGTTACCTGCGAAGACCTTAAACGGTCGGGCTTCAAGGTATGGTCTAAATTTGTCCGTGGCCCATATAATTGCTAACCACTCGCGTTCTACGGCGGCGTATCGCTTCTGGGTGTCCGAGAACTTTTTGCTCGCATAAGCGATGACGCGACTTTCATCCGGTCTGTCACCCCTTTGGAAAAGTACCACGCTAACGCCTAGCTCGCTAGTATCAGTCTGGAGACAGAAAGGCTCAGTGTAATCGGGTGGGAACAATTTAGACGAGTCGTACAGGGCACTTTTGATAGAGTCAAAGGCTTTCTGTTCGACATCCGTCCATGACCATTTTGCTCCCTGTTTAAGTCGGTCGGTTAAGGGGCAATGATGTCGACATATTTATTCACAAATTGATAATACCAATTGCACACGCCTAAATACTTACGCAAGTTCCTAACTTTTTTTGGTACTGGAAATTTTTTTATATTCTCCAACTTTTCCGGTTGCTTATGGATGCCCTCAGAGTTAACAAGATGTTCTAGGAAGGAGATTTCGGTGGAACCAATCTTGCACTTCTTAGTGTGGCATGTCGGTTCGTATCTCATGAGACGTTCGAGTACTTTGTCCTAGTGGTATCAGTGTTCGTCCTGGTTTGCGGAGGATATAACAATATCGTCCAGATACCCCTGGACGAACTCATCCACATAACCACTTAAGACCTCATTCATGAGTCGTACAAATCTCATGGGACTGTTCTTGAAACCGAAAGGGAGGACTCTAAATTGATACAACCCTCTGCGAGTCCGGAATGCTGAGTATTTTTTAACGTTTGGGTTAAGTGGTACTTGCCAGTAACCCGACTTAAAGTCCAAAACGCTGTCGGACTGTCGTGTAGAAATAATTTCTGCCCTTAACTATGCTTAAATTTCAGCGTTGTTGAAATTTTCTAAAAATTCGGACCGAAATTCATGCCAGGACAGGTCTAAGATCTTGATGGAGGTCTACCATTTTCCGACTGTCCCTTTAAGTTGTGGTACGACTGCCATTTTCCAACCAGCTGGTGGGATTCTAGCCTGTCCTAGAATCGATTCGGTATTTTCCAAAAACCGTACGGGGTCCTCCGCCTTCGTTCCAGAGAACTCGGGTAGGAATGCTTGCGCTGCCGATATTATATATAGCCGATATACGTTAAAACATCTTTATATTACTCTTTAGGTATAGTATAGAAGTCTGTGATGGCCATCGAGATAAAGAATAAATTGGAGTGGGTCATTCGTAAATAGAATACGAGCCACCGCGATAAAAGTTACCCACCTCCACTCCATAAGGGCAAAACATTATTTTACACATACGATGATCCGTAGACCGTAGTAAACAAAATATGATATATATACATTTATATATATATATATATATATATATTGTTTTAAAATAATTAAATCATTTCTACATATTTATACTGCAATTTTAATACATTTTCATTGCTATTTGGCATCTTTTTCGCGCAATTTTAAGATATTTTTAATGCAATTATATCCGGTCTTTAGTGATAGCGTGGTTTTGTGCTGATAATGCGCTTGCGTTAGATCAGTGGTGCGCAACCTTTTTTGATCCAAGACCCCCAAAATTATTTATTTTGATAAAACGAGCCCTCCCCCCTACCTTCTAACATTATGTAAGTGTATACCGTATAATATATATTTACTTAATAGTCATAATGTATACAAACATATTATTCGTATAAATTAAATCATTAATTTTAGGCAATTTTAATATTTATTTAATCTAAAAATTGAAAAAAAAAATACAAAATTAGAGCTAGATAAAATCTAAAATTAAAAAACTACTGAAATTATTATAATGATTATCAACATTTTAATATTTTTTAAATTACAAAATTACTATTAAATTATTTTAACCACTGCGTTGGATAATGATGATAAATATTTATTAACATAGTGGTGATCCACCACTTGGTGACGCTGCTGTCTAGTTTTGTACAAGATTGCAAGACGTAAGCAACCGAACGTGCGTAACTTGGTGTTGCCCTTGTGGACGGCGCGATTGGTACTTCTGTCACGACGCTTTTGACAAGAGACGGGTCCGGACGCGATCAGGGGCACCGAAATATAAAAATATATGTAGGGCAAATCATAATTAACAAAGAGTTCATTTTATTATTTTATTTATTTATATATTTACTAATAAATGTATAATGTATGTAATATTGTATTAACATTTTTTAAAAAGTATAAAGTAAAAAATATGTATATGTATAAATTTTATATTATAAAGAAAATATAATGATTAAAGTAGAATTATTTTTGAAGAAATCTGATATTTTTAATTGTTTTTTTTTATTTTTTGACCTATCTGTAAAGTTTTTAATAACGTTTAGCGCGGAAAAAATCTCATCTCCAATTTCTGGTTGTTCTTGAATGTACTTACGGACAACCTGTAAACTATCCGAGCAAAAGTAGTTTTAGGCAATTCCTCATCTTCATCAATATCCGACTCCTGTGACAGCATTTTATTAAATATCGACGTATACATTTTGTAGTTCAATCGACGTATAATTTTACCAATAATAAATATACAATAAATGTAGTAGATAAACGTAATTTATCGGAGATATAGACATTAAATCGTATTATATCGTTGAATTTATAACTGTACCTTTTAAGCATTAGGTAAAGATTAGATTTATAATATTAATCAGTTTTCGATTTCGATTACCGTTATTACAATAATATACTTGATTATTTTACTTTCGAGTTATTAAGGTATGTATGTGTAATGTATATGTTATTATATAAATTCGAGTTATAAGCCAAAATTCGGCTAAAAATATTTCGACTTAAAGAGAAATTCGAGTTAACGAAATTCGAATCATCGAGAAAATTTATCACACTCATCATATATAGTAAGGTCGGGGCCAAGACATTCCTTCGAA